ATTATACACAGTACCAGGGCTACATTGGTGAAAGAGTAGCGCTGGTTTTGGAAAAATATCAAAAAAGGGTGCCAAGGAGCATGCACAACGGGCGTTAGTGTGTTAAGACCACATGCAGATACCGAAGATACGCACCCGATTCTTGTTCTTGTGCAGACGAATGCCAATCTCCTTATTCTTCGTGATCGGCTTCATAAGGCGGAAGGTGAGCCCAAACGGAGTTGACCTCAACACGAGATTCACTGGTGTACCAGGTGTCGATAAGCTGTAGAACAACTGAGGGATACTTGAAAATCCTTGTATCGGAATATTCTCCACCTAAAACGTCACATTACTTTCGTGTTCCTTGCCAGTAAACAACTCTCCAATAATTGGTGAGTTATCTAAAAAGTGCCACCTCAATAAGCTCGTCACCGAAACTGAATAGCTGGCCTAATTGGCGATCATTAGCTTCGGACCAGCCGGCTACCCTGGAAATGAAATTAATCAGTTAATGGAATTTACTCAGTGGACAAATTGAGTAATCGTTCACATCCTCTTCATTAGCGCTTATTTCACATAATTTCAAAGTAATAATTAATAACCCGCACGCTTACCAGACTCTTCCGGCAACTTCAACGAATAGAACTTGCTCGACCAGTACGGAGAGATTCAATGCTACGGATCGTGTCTGCAATTGCATCATAAATTATAATCGTCGCTGGAGAATGAAGAGTTCTATTGCATGGGTACCAAGATATTTTAAAGGTTGGGAAGAAAAAACGCCAAATTGGAAGTTTTTTCGAATCCATTTATTCTAATCGAACCTTGCTCTAACCGACCCTACCTTTTTCGCTCAAATTAAACCATATTCATTTCGTACAAATTGAGAATAATAAGGACTCCGAAAACGAGCTCAATATTTTTTAAATTCTATATCCGGTGATCTCCTGCGAAATGCAATCAAAGTTGTAAATAATGACGAAGTGAACATCACTGATTAGTTTTATGTTTTATTTTTTGCTTCAAATGTTTGTGTGAAGAAATGAAAAATGCAAGCGCTACGATATTATGCTCCAACCCAATAGATCCGAATCACGCAGGTTCAGAGAAGTTTTAAGGAATGATTATTCTCAGCTTTGGGTTAGTATTAGGTTGTCGGAAAAGTCCTTGCGCATTTTCTTGTTCATCTTGCAAAATCTTTTGGGATCGTTTTGAAACATTCACTGTTAAACGCATGTGAGCGGTGGTTAATGCTCTCTCCACAGCATTTCTGTCGTAGCATTTCGCAGCGTTTGAAGCTTAAAATCGTCCTTTCACTGAAGGTATGTTCGACTGCTCCTGCCTTTATAAGCCCACAAAATGCGTCGATTGAAGCGAAGCAGTAGGTGAGGCCTACGTGTTGATGATGGTATTGTGAGTTCGGAGGGATTTTTTATCGTCATCATTATGCAATTATTTTGATATGTATCCTCGTAGGAGTTCTCATGTTAGTTGAAGAAATACCTCGAATTTGGTGCGGACCTGCCGACCACTCAGTGAGGGGTAGTTGATATGGTCTGATATTCGCGATTTGGTTGGTTCGGGCGAGCCGCTTGTGGTTTCTTGTGTTACGAGGCTCGATAACTGGGGCTGAGCTTTTTCTCGAGTGGTATAGCAGCACAATCTCCGGCTTGACTCACCACTTTTGTGTTAGCCAACGATGAGTGGCGATTCTAGTGTTAACCGCACTGCCAGAAGCACGACTTGGATCGGATGCGTAGTAACAAATAGGATATGCAACGGCGATGTCTCGGAGACAGTTTAATACCGATTGTTGGTAGTGCGGATTTGGGCATGTGTGTTCGCTCACGGGGTAATCTGTCTGCCAATGAAAGTCTACTGCTATAGTTTTTTCGTGGAACAGCAATGTTAGCAAAAGATCGGTTCCTCCTCTCGTGGCCATGGTGCCCGGAAAATCTGAGAATCCTCTACTTCTTGTCGTAAACGCTCGCCCACGAATTACGAAGAAGGTCCAGGAAAAGTCTGCGAGTTCGTTATGGGATGATCTGACCCACTTAGTGTGTTCAGCAAATCTGTGGGGCTAACAGTGGGATTGTTTGCCTGACGCTCCTTGTTTGCTGCTCTCTAAGTCAGGTGAAATAGGGGCATTATGATTCGATCCTTGACTTTGGCAGTCTACCTTCTTCGAGCTTTTACTCCCTCAAAGAAACTGCGTGCGGATTAGGTGGTTACCGTTTGTCCTGTGTGTGAACCGACTTGCCTGTGAAGAGGCATTTTATCGATTTATAGTGTAGGATACAATGGTTGCTGTGTCATTGTATCCAGAGAGGGTTATGCGCTGAAGAGAGTGTCTGATTTTTTTGAGAGATGTAGTGGCTGAGATGCGGTTTTTTGTTTGTTTGTATGCGTTATGTGTTGCTGTGAGTATAGAGGTGTTATTATGTGTAATGTCTGGAGGCAGCCTTTGTCACTTGAATCAGCATGCTGCGTGTGGGTAAAGGAAAAAGAGTGAAAGAAGAAATATTTGTTTTTACTGGGAATTCCAATTTTTTTAGGAACCTATAAATGAAGACTGAATTCCTTCGTAAATTTCGAATTATTGTAATGTAGCACAAGACGCCTATCTAAGCGTCCAATCGAGACATCGTCATGTTATGGAAACTTGGCAGGAAATAAGAATAGTTAGTGATGAGCTTCGGAGAACTTCTCGAATATTGAGAAAAAGTGAAGGGCGCTGATAAACATATCCTGTGCTGCGTTAGAATTTTATCAACAGGTCATTAGTTGCGGTTCTACTTGTCACGCAGTAGATTGTGCTGTCGGATTGTATGTGTTTTGCAATAATTTGAATTTCTATCCCATTCAAAAAGAACATGCTGAATTCAAAGGAAAAGATATGTTCTCAAAATTTCAGAATTTGGACGCTATCGCAAGATACGGAGCAACCTCTTAGACTGACCTAGCCAAAAGGGCGCAGGAAGTACGGGGAATAGGAAGCTGCTCACGCACACAGGAGTCCCTTCTTCCCCGCCTAAAGCTTAGTGCATTTCAAAAAGAGAGATATTTCATGCAGTTTCAAGTGAATTGTCACCACAATGCCTTGCGAGAGCGCAAAAAATTAAGTCCCATCACCTCACTGCTGGTCAAGAACCGGACTGTATTACGGTAGGTGGCCCACCTTTGGATTACGTAATGAGTTCTTTCTTCAGAATACGTGATCCTTTCTAACTTCAGTAGGGTCTGCTAAGATTTTCGGGTAGTCATAAATTGTTTCGACCCTTTCAGGCTCTGAAGAAGGCGATCCTCGCCGAAACGTTAGCCTAATAAATCATTTATCAACCTCGTGAAGAGTAAAGAAGATATCAACCAGCGCAAAGAAAAATTAAATTTGGTGCAGTAAAAAAGAAAGTTACGACCGAAAAAACATTTGGCCAGATACTTTTGAGCGTTACTGTATTATGTACAGGTACGGGATTACAGTGAGTCTTGAGAAACTTTTTCCTCAATCTAGTCAGTGTGATACTTATGGTGAAACTCACAGGTAGGTCATCCTGACCAGATCGTAAACAATCGTAATCGTTGCTGGAGATCTCACAGGGCGGATTCGAGGACGACAGTCGTAACTCACTTGATAGACTACTGCTAAAAAGTTTCGAAATAATTGCCGTTACAAACATCAAACATTTTCTTTGTTGAAAATCTTACAATCTACTGCAAACCGGAAGCATCAATTTCAGCACTGGTACCTTCAGTATATTTGTTCCTACCACCTTTTTTTTACCACCCACTTCCTCGTTAGTTCCTTCTCTATTTCATGACTTTATGAGCGGAGAAGAATATGATGAAAAGTGGCCAACCAAGCCGAATTGGCTTGCGAATGTACTACGACTCCTCTCAATCGAGTGTGAAAGCACAAGAGTACTATTACACAATACCGGCTTCGCATATTATCATAAGTTATATCGCTTCATCGTTCAGTGTTTTCTCCTGCACTGATTGCTTGTGATTGCTCATTCCCATTTGTCCCTCGTTCTTCTTAGGCGGCGCTTCCTGTATGGTCCCTTTCGTTTTTCTTAAAGGCACAACCCAGGCAGAGGTCGTGTGAACGCTTCTCTTCGGTCTGTAGTATAGACCCCTAGAGGACAATCACAAATGTGGCGTTCCCGTGCACGGAAACCAACCGACAAGAGCGCTTGGGCCTTGCAAAGTAAGCTGCTGAAGCTGCAGATTTTTTTTCTCTGTTGTCTGGCGCTCTCTCGCCTCATACTCTCCTCTCCGCGCTTAGTCTCTCATTCCCTTAGCACAGCCGATTAGGAAGGTGAGTGAGCCAACCTAAGCGTTTTGACGGATTCTTTTCCTTTTTTCTTTACTGCCGGCCCATTTCGCACCAATACATTCGCATTCGTGTGCAAGAGCCACACCAATGTGATCCTGGGGCATGCCTTTGAAGTTCACCGCGTTGATAGACCCAGTGGCGATCTTCTGCCACCGTCTTACCCACGTTGTTTCTTGGCATTTAGTAGTAACCTTTTGGTCGATACCTTATCCCACCCGCTGTTCTGCGATGAAAAAAGCTCTAAATGGAGGGCAGATGAGCTCGTGAGCATTAGTCCTCGGTAGAGCAAGGAAAAGGCTTTCTGTCCCTGATCTATTACATGTGCCAGTAGTAT